ATGTAAAATAGTTGGGCTTCGTAACGAAAGAGTTCCTAAAAGGTTGATATTTGTTGTACCGAATGGTAAACGTCCGAGGGGTAGACCGAAGCGAAGGTGGGAAGATTGCGTTAAAGGCGATCTGAAGGGACTGGGTTTGGACAGTGAACGGTGGAGGGAGGTGTGTAATAAGCGGTTGGTGGTGTCGGCATCGAATCTCCGGGTTAGCTAAGGCTTTTATTATTATTATTATGTTTTATTGGACCCCCAAAATCTCTTGTCGTTGGTGTCCTTCTTCTATTATTTTGTGTCCATATATATACGGCGGTCAAGTGGATATAGATAGAGAGCCATAATAGTTAGAAAGCCTATATATATTTTTTTTTCTGTTTCTTTTCTTTTGTTAAAATTTTTCTATTTTTTTTATTATTGTATATATGTTATGAATAAGTGTATGTTACGTCTCAAATACTAATACCCTTAAAAAAGGCAAAATGTATTTTAGATGATAATAATAACAATAAAAAATAAAAATATAATTATCAAAAGTTCTAACAGTAAAACACTATGATGATAGGTCAGTTTTTATACAAATACAGTAAATAGATGATACGCAGAATGGCTTTCTAGCTATGGTGGCTCTCTATCTATATTCACTTGACCGCCATTCCATATTCCAGCGGCCATGCAGACGTTCATTTTTCGTCTCAGCCCTGTTGACATAGCCAAACCTTAGTATAATAAGTTACTAAGTTTTTTTGCCACTGGCTCTCGGACTAACGGCTTATTATACCTTTTTGCAATAGGAAGTTATTGCAAGATTTTAATCATTGAGATTTGATTCTTTCTTCTTTTAGTTATGATGCTACAAATAACTTTCTTGTCCATTCCCAAATATTCTGTAAAATTCACCTGGACTAATTGAAAAAGTAAAGTTTTAAGTAAAAAAATTGGATAGTTTGATAGGAGGAGAGGAGACGAGCTAATGAATTAAGAGCCATTGATAAGAATGGATTAGATAAGGGATACTTATTGGGACCCTAATGGAATTGGAACGGCCTCTGTTGTTGCTGGCTATTTATTTCAGTTAGCAGCTCCTGTATTCCGTCCTTCCAACCAATAACATGCCCATATTGGACTCTTTCATTGCTTTTTATCCTCTTATCATTATCTCATTTATCCTATCCGTCGACTACTATACTTGTTTTTTTTTAAAGTCATTTACTGAAAATTATATGATCTATTTAGTCAAATTGTTAACAGTAGAAATCTGAAAAACGTGCAGCGAAAAACTCTAAATATGCAAAATCGTGCAGCAAAAACCCAAAATATCTAAAATTGTCTAATTTACATATTAAGAAATTTAATTCAGCAAATTTCCGATATGAAGTTTTTGACGGATCTATAAGTTTCACAGCTCCCTGAGTTCGAAAAACACATTTTTAGCTATTGGTCTATCAATAAACTAAATAATGAACTACATAAATTTTGAAGAGTGGCTTGATACACGTACTGGAGGGCGGTATTGAGGCTGTTGGTGTATCCCTGGCTTGAAGTATCGAAGATCGATAAGAACTTTTGTTGAAGATAGGATCCCACTCTGTGTAAAAGAACAGAAGGGATCAAAATGTAATCAAACAAAGGGAATAAACTCTAAAATTTATGTATTTAATTTAATTTTAAATTAAATTACCTAATATTCGAAAAGAATAATTATTCAGAATAATTATGTCTGAGCCAAGATTTTCTCGGGAACTAATGAAGCCTGATTTTTTTTAGACAGTTAATGGACATTCCCTACAAAACTGTATAAAAATTGTTCATTTCAGACAACTATTAACGAAGTTACAGCTATTCAATTTCCAATGTAAGATAACGGATTCATCATCAGACTGCCGGATATCCGTCTGACTGTCTGCATCGAATTTTACCACCACTGAACCACACATATTTCATCTTTGCCGTCATCTTTTTTTGTCTGGCTAACCAGTGGAGATGTTTAGAAATAATATACAGATACAATGAATGTACCAATAAAAATTGATGAAGAATATGTATTCTAATTTTATTTATAAATTTTTATTTGTGCAGAAATTTCTATACTAGATCTTGAATAAAGGCTAAGCCATTATAATGATTATTGAATAGTTACTTCAGTAATGAAACTATTCTATAACTATAATGAACGTATATAATGAAAAGGGGTGAATGAGAGAAAAAAGATAACTTAGTGAAAGTAAGAAAATCTGTTGCTCACATCACAAAAGCTTCACTATTTCCACTTGTTTAACAGACATTATTGTATGACAAAATTAGGCTATGGAAAAAATTTTTTGATCAGCAATATTAGAGGGTATTGAAATTTTTACACTGATCTACCTTAACATTGCTTTAGTTTATCGAATAAATCTTGTCTTTGATCAATTTTCTGGAAAATAAATCTAATTCAATTTTTTTTTGTTTCTTTATGGACATATGTAAAAATATAAAAAAAAATTTTGAAATAGGTAGGAAAATAGGCACACTAGTTTTTCCTTTTTTATTTTTTTTGTATATTTCATGAAAAAAATTTTATTTTTTTATTTCTTAAAGACATTTACAACTGTATTAAATAAATACATCTAGTAAATTAGAACATAATGTATATAATGACATGAAAAATACTACCTAATGGTAGCACTCTATGAAAATTTTAAAATGCAAAATAAGATTTCTATAGTAAAATATCACTTATACCGAGATCGTAGATTTCTATTCCGTTGTCTGGTATTGAAAAAAAGTCACTTAACGCTCGTTCTAGTTTGTTCGTGTAGTGAGTGCTAGGTAAAAACGACTACATGATTTTTTTTTTCAGATCATAATAAAATTGTTCTTTGTTTTTAGTAAGACGAAGTTAAATAATAAGACGAAATAATTATTTTTTCATAATATTGGAGCATGTGAATAAATGTTTTACGGTCAAAGTGGTAAGGATTTGAAGTTTTATGTCCACCATGATCAAAAAAAAATAATGTCAGTAATGAGATGTTTCCATATTATCAACTAATCTGGGTTTAGGTTTACTTTTCTATCTTCTTTACTGTTATCTTTTCAGTTCCTTATTGTGAAGAATCTATCTCTTATTTAAGATCAAAAAAGCCATGTCTTGGAGTTCCTAATCTTCCCTCAAAACATTGATTAATTGCCCTAAAAACTAATTTTTGATTTGCTCTTGCTCGTTCAAATAAATGTTGTCTTCTTAGATTGGTCGATAAAAACGTCGTTTCCTTCTCTCAATGCCACAGTTAACTCTTTGTTCTGAAAGCACGGGTTTTCTACCTAGATCATATTTCTTATTACTGCTTCGAGAACGGGTGATTAAGTTACATAAGGTTGCAAAATTAACATGTTTCTAGAGACAAAGAATCAAAAGTTAGGTCGCACACTGGTGTAGAAAAAAAGTTGCAGACCTAAACGTGGAACTGTTTTCTAATTATATGAACTTATTATTCAGTTTAGATCCACGAGTACCTAAAATAGTGTATAATTAAAAAAAGATTAATTACCTTTCTTATTACATGCCATCATGAAACAGTAAAAAAAAAATAACTAGGACGTTCTAATATTATTTGCAGCTAAGAGACTGAAAGAGTATATTGTATCCAAGCTCAGAATCGGTTAAAAAAAGGTATTAGTCGTTTGCTAAAATATTTTATTGATATGTGCTTTGAATTATTCATATGTTTTCTTAATAATTAACATCTTAGCTGATGGTTTTCATGTATTTCACGTCACAATTTAAATCGGACTTTTGTTCCACTGGATTCGCAATCGGTACCACTGTGGGTCAGCGGTGGTTTATCTGGACCGTATGGACCCGGGGTTTAATATTTTGTTTTTAACATGCGTTCTCGTCTATGTATCTATGCATGTAATAATTGCAGTAAAATTTTAAATTAATTTAGAAAAATGTATAAAATTAAAATTTTCGTATTGTTGCTCACTCCTTCCAAACAAACGATATTTTCAGACTGTTATTTAAAATTAATTTTATCAAACTCATATTCAGTTTCTTTTGTTTCACTGTGCTATCTTTTTCTTTTCTTTTGATATATATTTTTTTTTTAATTGTATGTATGTTATGAATGAGTATCTTACATCTCAAATACTAATGCCCTTAATAGTTTTCTTTTGTTGTGATTTTCCCTTCTTTTTTTTATATTTATTGTAGATTTTTTAATTGTTAATGAATGATTTTCTTACATCTCAAATACTAATGCCCTTAATAAAGGCAAAAGTTTTCTATTCTTTTGTTATGATGTTTCTTTTTTTATATTTATTGTATATTTTTTATTGTTGTTGTGGTTGTTGTTTTGGGTTTAGGGGCAAAAAACTACTGACGGTTATCATTGCCTCAAATTTTACTGATTGATTTTTCAGTCTTAAAACTATTATTATAAAATTAAATATGTTTTAAAAAAGGATAATGAAAAAAAAATTATATATAAATTACTATTTAGAAGGGGAAAAAAAGAAAAGTATAGAGTATATATAGTATATATATACTTGAATTAGCCCTATGTTCTTAATGAATTGAATGATACTACCGATACGTTGTTCGTTATCTGTTAGTGCCTCACAGAGCTGACGAGGTACACAACGTCTTTCCATCTCTCTCCTATTTTTTTATTGTTATGAATGATTCTCTCACATCTGAAATACTAATGCGCTTAATAGACGCAAAAGTTTTCTTTTTCTTTTCTTTTGTTATGATTGTTCTTTCTTTCTTTTTTTTTTTTATATTTATTGTATATTTTTTTACTGTCATGAATGATTCTCTTACATCTCAAATACTGATGCCCTTAATAGAGGCAAAATGTATTTCAGCTAAAAAAAAAAAAAAGAAAAAAAAAGCCAGTAAAATACTATGATGATAGGTCAGTTTTTATGAAAATACTGTAAATAACTGATATAAATGGAAATTCACATTAAAATTTTATCATTGCTAAAAAAAATCTCATGGACTACTATGGTCTAAAATTGTTAATATAAGAGAAGACGAAACACCTTGTTACAAAACAATTTATTGAACATTTAAGTTAAGCTTCTGAACCGGAGTAGTAGTTTTCACATATTTCTTCCCTGTAGCCAGGCAGCTTCCTCTGCTTGCGGTGGGCGTACCTCTTGATCCTCTTGCAGCACTTGGGGGAGCCGGCCTCCCGGGGGCACAGGCAGACCGGGGAGGCGGGGTTCACCTCGGGGTGCATGTTGCAGACGTTGGACCCGCAGCCGCTGCCCTTGCTCTTCTTGTTCTTTTCCACCTTCTTCTTCCTCTTCTTGGGGGCGTTGCACTCCTCGGGAGGACAGGGGTCGTTGCAGCAGGGCATCGGAGGGGGGCAGAACTTCTTGGGACGGTAGCACTTGTCGAGTGCCTTCTCCAGCTCCCCGGCACCCTTCTTCACCACGTACCTCCCCTCCTCCTTCTTGTTCACCATGCCGACTTCCGATCCCATCGCCAGCAGGGCGTTCACTCTGTTCTGCACGTCTTTCTTCAGCCTTTCTTGAATGTAATTTGTTACCTCGTCCGAAGTCACACCATCACATTGGGTCCTCACTGCATCTTCAATTAGAGTCCTTAGGTATCGTTTGAACCTGTGTACGTCTGTTTTTTTTATTTTTGACATGGTGTCCCCTTCTGAATTTTTTAAAAAGAAAATTTGTAATGCTTAATACTAACGTTTTTAAATTTTGACTTGTTTGACATATGATTATGTAATTTTAACCTAAAAAGAAACATATGTTTCAATTTTAATTTGTTTTTTCCGATAAGTTAAAATCCTTCATTTGTTGCCAAGTATTGTATAGGTTGCCAATCTATTCTAACCCTTTTTTTATTTTTGGTAAAGAACTCTTCAATTCATTTTTTATTTTTTACATCTCAAATGCTAATGCCCTTGTTGATGTAGCGTATGCAGACAACGCTACGACACGCCCATCAGCGACTCTTTATAGTTAGTTCCTAAAATCCTTGGTTTTAATCGAATCGCATTTTCCTAAATTGAATCGGAATATAAGCCGACCTTCCGACTATAGGTAGACTCTCACCTCCCTCTTATTGTTGTAGAGAATTTCAGTAAAAATAAAAACTAGTTCCATATTAGGGCAAATACAGTATTTAATACTAAAATCTAAAAAATGAATATTTATCGGCATTATCATCAAGTGGCAATATTCCGCTTAAATCTAAATTTATTTTTTCTATTTTATGCTTATCTTTAAAACGTTTATAGCCAATAATATTTTATTATTCATATTGTTTCAACCGAAATATTCTTGTCACGTAAGCTAACAATAATTCGTGCACCGCTTGAATCGTGGCATCATTTTATTTTTTTTATTCATATTCTATTCATTCTTTTTATCAGTTCCTATCAGCAATCACTATCTATAATCACCAGTAGATGCGTATTTATTTCTAGAATTATCCGATAATTGTGGGTTGTTATATTTTATGTTATGAATTGGTCTATTGATTAGCCCTTGACCGAGCGATGGAACACGAAGCGGGAGTATTGAATTTATTTATTATTCTATTATTATTATTATTCGTTCTATGGGAGTCTATTTACCTCGCTCTTTCAGTTATAAACGTTGTTATTATATAGAAGTGTGTGAATGTTTTGGGTGCTTTTTTAGCCTGCATGTTTATTAATAGAAAAAAAAAACTTTTGTTACTCCATCATATCAGTCAAAATGGGAATATGAACAGCCACGAGAAAATTATTTGTTTTCTTTTATTTATTTAGTTACCTATTGGTATTAGAAATGTTATTATCCTATAAATTATTTCTAAAAGGTCTTTTTTTGTCGATGCTCCTTTGACTTCCTCAGTTCTTCATCAAATCCAATGATAGACCACTAATTTTGAAGATATTCTTCTCCTTCACTAAAAAGTAGCCCTATCTATCCTCCCAAAATTTCTAGGAAAAAATTATGAAGGTAAAGAAACTTTACGTAAGTATTGAAAAACTTTAAGTATGAAAAGTATTTTTTTCAAATAATTGTTTTCTCAAGTATTTTTTCTGGTTGTGATAATTAGAAAGATCACTAACTAACTAAATTACCTACAAAACAAAACAAAAATTGTAAAAATCGGACAATTATTAACAAATATACAGTACATTAGTTTTGATGTATTTAATAATGCCTTCCTGTTTAAAGATATTGCATTTAGCAGTAGAATAGTCTACTACACTTTGTTTTCTGGCTGATGTCTTAAATTTATTATATCTTAAAGACATCTAGTTGTTCTTACATTTTATTTTTTTGAATAATTTAGAAAATCCCACGATCCGTTCATTATTTTCCCTTTATTACTTTCATTATCTTTTCTGTAGCGTTTAAGAACAGGTCCTAGCAAAGCAATTTGTACAAATATTTTTGTCTATTATGTTTAATGGAATATCGTAATCGAACAAGGAAAAAATATTAATTCCATCCTTACATAATACATAGGAACTGCTTATTTCCATATTGTTTTGCTATGCCTTCTCTAAACAAAATTTTCTGCGAATTATTCACACATGCCAACTAGTTATATTATATTTTACTTCTACGCTACCGAATTTAGGAAAGCTTATTATTCGTGGAGGAGAATGAGAAAAGAAAAAAATATATTGTCCTCACAATTTCTACTGGCAGTTATTTTTTAATATTGAGAAACGAATTTGATTCCGTACCTCTCAGTCCGTCTGCCGGCAAACCCATGTGACGGTCGTATCACCTTTTACCATTTTGCAAGGAATTTTGCTGGTTAAAACCTAGATCGATCTAATATTAAATTCCATTCATTCCGTTCGCTTGCAAATGCGAAAACGTAATTTCATTCGCAAATATATCAAGAATGGCTTTGTAGATTTGGTCTAAAATTGTAGCAAATTTAGGAAGTTGACCTAGCTGGTTTGAATTTTATTAATAAATCCATTCATTACGTTCAGTTGCAGATGCGTAAATACATTTCCCTTGGTAGGGCTATATTTCAAAAACGTTTGTTCGATTGACTGGGAGATCTCCGAACTACAACATGTAAGTATCTTCAATCAGGCCCGAGGAAGTTTCTTTAATTAAACGGTAAAATTAAAAAACAAAATGTAAAATTTAATAAATCACTTGAACACTGGATAACCACAACATTTATTGTATGAGTTACTCCTCTTAGAGAGCTTATTTCAGAACTGAAGTGTGATCATAAGCCATGGGACTTGGTGGAGGTCTCAATGTTGCCCACGAAAAGTTTGGAGGCCCCTGGAATGGCCTTAGCTAGGAAACTTGCGGCGTCCGTGACTTAGCTGCGGACTCAAGACGTTTTTGCGCGATATTTCTTAATCTTAATTTATCGAATATTTATTTTACGAAAACATGAAAATGTTACCTCATACCTAAATTACAGAGTTTTGTGGAAGATGTGGATTAAAATATCTCCGAAGCTAAAAATCGGACCTGCATACTATAAACGAGAGAAATGTTCAGCATTTGGCCCTCTTTATAATGAGCTATTATTTATAATTTATATTTCATATTATTAATCTCGCCTTGTATTTTTTTTTTTTTTTTTTTTATTTGTTTATTTAGAAATATTACATTCTGTCACATCAAGGACATTTATAATAGTGTTCAGAGAAAGCACACTCACACTCTATTTACAATAAAAAAAAATAATAAAATAATACAGAAACTTAATAATAATAAATACAATAAATAAAATAAAAATAAATACAATAAAATAAAATAAATGTATATAAACAAAAGAACTAACCTAATCATACACACTCGGGCTTGAGTGGAGGATCTGGCCATTGCCAAAACTCCAATAGATGCTTATTTACAAAAGGTCTCTGGGCCACTGCCGCTTCAACCTTCGAGGAGGATTGTAAGGATGGGTGGTGCTGGATAGAGATTGTGCAAGGGGATTTGGATGATAGGTAAGGTTCTGGTGAAATTTGGAGAATTTTTCTGGAATAAGGTCTAGGACAAATGGGATATTAAGGTCATGGTGTAGGATTTTGTTATTTACATAGAACGGAGCATCAACTATTGTTCGAAGGACTTTAGATTGAAAGGATTGAATACGTTTGATGTTAGAAGCTTTTGCTGTACCCCACAGTTCAAGTCCGTATGTCCATATAGGTTTCAGTATTGTCTTGTAGATAAGTAATTTGTTTTCAATAGAAAGTTTGGATTTTCTGTTTAGTAGTCTGTATAGCTGGCCGTATCGTCGGATTGAGTTCTTGTCTTTTGAGTCTAGTATGTGGGTTCCACGTCAGTCTTCGGTCTAAATGAAAGCCAAGATACCGGACTGTGTCTGAGTAAGGAAGCTGGATGGAATTAAAGTGTACTGGTGGACAGGAACTGCGTCGGAGTGTAAAGGTAATGTGTTGGCATTTAGATTCATTAACTTTAATGCGCCAGTTATTACACCAGTGCTCAATCAAGGTGAGGTGGTTTTGGAGATTTAAGGATGCTATGTTGGGATCTGAGTCGGATGATAGAATAGCGGTGTCATCAGCAAAAGTTGCCAGGAAGGTATCGGGATGGACAGGGATATCGGCGGTAAAGAGGATGTAAAGGACGGGACCCAATACGCTACCTTGAGGAACACCTGCCTCAATTGGATAGCAATGCGAAAATTCAGTACCGCAACGAACTCGGAAGGTACGATCTGAGAGGTAGGAACGGAGAACAAGGTACAAGGACTGAGGAAGATAGTTTTTCAGCTTGGAAAGAAGCCCGGCGTGCCATACCCGGTCGAAAGCTTGAGCTATGTCCAGAAATGCACCCGAGCAATATTTCTTGCTTTCCAATGCTGCGGAAATATGATCAACCACTCGGAGTCCTTGTTGGACTGTAGAGTGTTGTGAACGAAATCCGAACTGATGGGAAGGAAGAGTTTGGGATTCTATAAAGGGTAGGATGCGTTTTAGGAGGATCTTTTCAAAGATTTTTGAGAGAATAGGAAGAAGGCTAATTGGTCTGTAGGACGTTGAGGTGTTGGGAGGTTTGCCTGGTTTCGGAAACAGGATAATAGTGGAATGTTTCCACAAAAGAGGAAAGTGGGTGGTTCGTAGGATGCTATTGTAGTTTTTTAAAAATATTTCTATAAAATGTTATCAAGTATATGAGCAGCTTTTTTTTTTTTTAATATTACATCCATTAAAATTTCAATCGGCTGCAACATTATTTGACAATATTTTTTAAACTTATTTATTGAAAAATATTACTATCTGTCTTCAGAACACTTATAATAGTGTTCTCAGATCACATTCACACTCTATGTACAGTAAATAATAATAAAATAACCTAAAAATAAATAAATAAAAAGAACACAATAAATAAATAAAAAGAACACAAGAAAGAAGGCTTTAAAAAACAAGGAAACATTTATTATCCATCGATGTTTAACGTAATGATACATTTTTTATAATTATAACTGATAAATATATATTATATTTTGAACATATGTTTCGTTTTTTTAAATTAATTTTTATCCGTGAATAAAAGTATCTCTGTGGTTTCTAATACATCGATTTAATTTTTCAAATTTATTAAACAGGTTCATTCATGTTGATAAAAACCATATCTGCTTTTTATTATATGTATTCATATTGATTTACGGTTCTATTAGTTGTTGAATTCCATTGCATGTCTGATTTAATGCAATATTTGCATTTTATTTATGTTGATATAAACATTAATGTTATTAGATGTTAGAAATTTGGCTTAACATAAGTTACATGGCTATTACCTGCTTAGGTAAATAAGTAAGAACTCGTTTAT